CCAGAAGCAACCATCAGAGTATAAGTGTTACACACGTGCCTCAATGTCACGGCCAACTCTGATTCAGAGGAGTCTGATACAACGGAGCCTGCTTTGGGACAGCTGTTTGGATTTCAGCCTGTGGAAGCTTTGAGCACTTAGACATCTGAGGCTGCCCCAGGAGTCACCAGGACCAGCTTCGTCCAGAGGATGAGGAACCACAGCTGGAAAGACCACCCAGAGCATGCTGTGTGCAATGGAGAGCAGAACAACAGCATTCAGCACATATCTTTGCACACCAGGGTCATTTCCAGCCTTGAAGCCTTGATTGAGTGGCTTGGATTCTAACTCTGCTAGCCTGTTCTCTCTTGTTGGGAATAACCCCTCCATTTATCAGAATCTCTGTCCATTTTTGTCCTGAACTTCTGTTTGTGGAAACTGCTCCTTTGTGACAATTATTCTCAGATGTAACTCAGACTAAGTCTTGGCTCATTTCTCTGGACTTTTGACTACCAGCAAGACCATACGAGTAAGCTAAGGAGGACTCTGGGGCTGAGTAGGACTATGTGTGTGCACACATCTCCGCACCCTGCAGCTGCTGCCTGCATTCTGCTTTCCCAAGCATGTCCATCTGATTGCTACATTTCTCTGTGCGTGCATGCTTGCTCAGATAAGGACACTCAAGGTCTACTTGTTATTAATTGAGCTGCTGCATTCTGGATCAGCTGCAAATTGTGAATGCTCTGAATGACCTAAAAGGTCAACCCCATTTAGAGTGCATTGCAGTTGTCCAGTTGAGAAGTGACTTAAGGTCTGAGTTCCAGTGAGTAACTGATCCAGAAAAGGTTTCAGTTGACACATTAGTTGGAACTGAGCAAACGCCCTCTTAGGCATAGCTGCCACCCATTCCTCAAGCAGGAGTCTAAGAGGACCCCCTAATTGTGAACCAACTCTCCCTCGGGGAGTGCAGCCCTGTTCAGTATTAATGATGGAATCTCACTGGAAACAGCTGACCTTCAAACCCAGAGCCGCTCCATCTTGCTGGATTGTGTTCAACCTGTTCTTCCCCATCCAGACCTGGACAATCTCCAAGCACCTGAACAGCACTTCAACAGTGTCATTTGTTTGTTTGGAGGTCAAAGCGTGCACTTGGGTATCATCAGCATACTGATGAAATCTGACCCTGTGCTGCCAGATGAATTTGCTCAGCAGCTTCAGCTTGATGTTGAATAGGAGGGGGGAGTGTCAAGCCGTGGGGCAACCCCAAATTGAGGAGGTCCAGGCATCAACCTCTTCCCTCTCCAATTGAATACATGTTTTTAGGAAGGAGGTGAACCACCATAATACAATGCCCCTCCCCCCCCCCATTTGTCAGAGATAGCAGAGAATGATATTGTGATGGATCAACAGTCACTGAGGGATCAAGCAGGACCAGGAGGATTGCACTATCCTCTGCCAGTACTACCAGAAATAATAGAGAAGCATAATCAGTGCTGTCTCTGTGTTGAGCCCATGCCTGAAATCAAACTAAAACTAGTCCAGATTATGTTTCCTACAGGCCCCTCTGCAGTAACAGTTCAATCACTTTCTCTACAACCTTCCCCCAGAAGGGAGATTGGAAACAGTCTAATAATTGTCCATATATCTGCATTAAGCAGTGGCTTCCTAAGAAGGGGCTACCACTGACTCTTGCAAAAACAAGGGTAACAGTTCCTGTCTGCCCACTATAATTCCTCTTCCAAGGACACATGTATTACCGTCTCGATACAGCTCCGCATTACCTCTCTGGAGGCTTTCATTAACCAGGAGGGGCGCGGGTCCAGATTACAGGTGTCTGTGCTGATACTGCAGAGGACCTTGTCCACTTCCACAGAAGTTACAGAATCAAACTCATCTCAGATAACAGAGCTGGATGAAGCCTCAGTCACCTCCTGACACTGGACCTGCTTAACTGGTGTCAAACTGAGTGGATCTGAGTGAGTTTGTCCTCCAAATTCTTCCCAGCAGCCCCTTATATGGTCTCATCCTTATCCAGTAAGGCCACAGTTCCCAAACTCTGTTCATGGTGCTGCAGTGCAGTCACATGGGCACGACAGGTTCGCAAACTATGAGCTCAAGATAGATCACAGTTTTGGCCTGGGGTTGCCATGAAAAGATTACTAGGACACTAAGGGTTCTGTGAACTGAGAAAGTTTGAGAACTTCTGCAGTAGCTTCCTTGTCACTTTAAAAGGGCTGCTGGACAGTAGTCTGCAAAGGCAATAAAAGCAGAGAAATGCTGACATTTTGTGCTCTTATCACCATGAAATAGGCTCAGATATGACTCTTACCTATGTTCAGATTGTATGTTGCAGGGCCCTTCTGTTCTTTCTGGCCGAATAAGCAATCGGTTAGGTGGTATGTATTGCAGAACATTTTATTTTTTAATTTAATGGAACAATTACTTGAATTACATGAATAAAATATATTGTAGGAACCAGGGTAGTTATTTAATGGTGTGTTTTTTTTCCTGTTGAAAGGCTAACACTGAATTCCTCTGCAGTTGTTACTACTATTAATGCCCCATGTATGTAATCTGTATTTGATTACAATCAATGGCAGCTAAAAGTGGATCAGGGATAATAGAATAACTAATGGTACCTGAACAGTTAACTGTGTTTCTGTTGACAGGATGTCTTGTGTAAATATACATTCATTTGTAATGCATAATACTCCCTATCTTCCTGATCTTATTACTTATTTATTCCACCTTACAAGGATCGCCTTTTTGATTGTATACAAGCTAAACTAAAAACAAAAATAGAACAAAAGCTTAAAATGTTGGATTCATTTATCAGCTGAAATAAAATGTTAAAAACCTACAATTTACTTTAGCTGCACACCCAGCTGCAAATACATTTAACTACAGTTGGATTATCCAGATTGCATTGCTTTCAATAGATGTAATAATTTCAGTGCACGCTGAATTGACAGTGATTTCTTTTATTGATATTGTACCTTTCCTCCAAGCAGCTCAAGAAAGCACAAATTGTTCATTTTATTTTAACTTTACAGGAAACCTCTGAATAGGTTAGGCTGAAAGGTAGTGAGTGGCCCAAGGTCACCCTGTGAGCTTCGTGGAAGTATCATGCTTTAAATATGAGTTGACACAGTCCTAATCTAATACTTAGTCCCTGATAGTTTGCTAATTATGAATTGTATGTGGATGGACTCACTGCAGTCAGACTGTTTTATTCACTGATAAGAACCAAATTTCTTTCAGTTTAGCTCACAGGGTTTATCTCAACCATCATTTAAGTGATTGAAGGAGAAATTAGCTTGGAAATTCAGTCACAGGGATTTTATCATTAGTAACATTGAGAACCTGTTAGGAAAGGTGTGTAGGTATAAGAAAAACTTCAAGAGAGAGTTTGAAATAGCTAAAGGTTGGCAAGGAAAAGTTTAAGTTCATTCCTTCTTTACCGCTGCATTTCCAGTTCAATTCTTTCAAAATTGCATTTTCAGAAAAATAGTCATGGAGTTGAGGTTGGAATTAGTCCTGAAAATACTACCAGGTTTTTGAATCATTATGGTCTTCTTCTATAAAATATTATACTATTGACAAACTTTTAAAAGGTCTTCCTGTTTTTATTATAATTTGATACAGTACTCTCATGCAAGCTTCCTAAAAATAATTCTTGCTAGTCATTGTTCACAGCTAAAGGAAAAAATGAACGACTTTGTTTTTACTAATAATTAAATATAATATTGCTGCACAGAAGGTTTTTTTTATTCTTAGACACTTCAAGGCAAAAAAAACAAAACAACCTAGATAATCTATAAAAGCAGCCTGTGTGAATATCTGATATTGAAGTCCTGATACAATATTGTACATTTTAAAGCATTGCCTTTGATCTCTTCTGTTTCAAATATTCAAATAAAAGGAGTAAGTATAAATTAGATTAAAAAGGACAGACGTTGAATACGCTGAACAGCAGTAACAATAGTGAGACAAATTCACAAAAAGGGAAGACAACCGATTCTAATACCTTGGAGATGCAGAACACAGAAGAGCCTCTTGTTACTCAAGGACCAGAAAGTGAAACCATTGTAAATTAGGTATTCATTAACCACTAGATACCGAAGAACATGAGGAGCACTACCTCTGGGTATTCACTTTCTACTAGGTTTACTGGAAGTCTGCCACACTGTAACATTATTTCTGGAGATAAACTTGTGGGATAAAGTTGCTGCTACAAGTATAGCTCAGTGCAGCCTCCTGGCACTATTCCTATCTCATCTGCCTAATTCTGAGCCCCTCCCATACTGAAATAATTGATATTCTCTTAGGGGCTGGGCCAGGTTGGTTAGTGACTATGTCATTGAGATAATTAGCACATTGATGTTAAACCAAGCTAAAGAGGGGCTGGAGGGATATCAAAGAAAATCTTGTCAGCTTTACTTTAATAACTAACTCTAAAACATTGCTAAAACTAGTATTTCAGTGCATAATTTATTATTATTATTATTATTATTATTATTATTATTATTATTATTATTATTATTATT